TTGATGACAATATCGCGATGAAAATTTGCGCGCGTAAATTCAGCGTAAGCTAATCCAGCAAAAATGACTTAGACCCGTTTCTACCAACGTAGATTAACTTTAATCTCAGTTCAACTTACTCTTTATCTTTTTCTAATTTTCAGAACTGGAAAAAGATGAAGAGTTAGTTAAACCGAGATTAAAATTAAACTATATTGGTAGAAAGGGGCCTTACTTAAGTTCCGAGTTAATTACAGAAACAAACGTCCTCGAACTTCGACGTCGCGCGATGCTTAAATTGATTTCCTTTCCGTTTACGAGCCCGAATGATTTGTTAACGTTTCTCGCTAGCGTTATATTCTGCGCGACAGCTGTCACGGATAAACTCGTCTAACTCGTCTGCTTATTCGTTCACTTTATGCTTGCCTTCGGCGTACCGGTTAAAACGTCTCTGAAAGTCTCTCTGCTTCTATAATACGTGTTGTCGGAGAGCAAAACGCCGTTGCTGGTCCCTTGTCGCTAAATAAATGCGTACATTCAATTAAATTCGAAACTCTGTCGTAGAATTCAAAATCCTTATCCATTTAGCCTTGCAAATGTCCATTCGCGTTTTCCGTTTGCCGCGACAGTATTTTCGTTCGTCGACGGTATTCACCTGCCTATCATTTTATATTATATGTTTACTTCGCCCCCAAGTGTTCCCATACTTATTCGACGTCGGGTTCGGAAACCGGTAATATTTCATAACGCGAAAATACTCGTTGAGATTTCCTCGTATTTATAAAGCGAGAGACACGACTCGGCGCCAGCGTCCACGACTTAAAAGTAGCGCATCGATTTCCAGCCATTTGTTCGATAAATCGGTTGCTCCCGCTGCTTCTGCAGGCTTTACAGGATAGAACGATCGAGGAGTTACGCTGATGTACTTTTAAAATAGCACCGAGGTCAAAACGAGACTTCGGCAATCTTCCATTCCACGGACGGTCATCGAAAAATCATAGATCACTCGCGAGAAATTATTGCTCGCCTTGGTCGAGTTACTGAGCCTAGAGATATACACAAAGTCCCAAAATTTTTCACGTTCCAAACGTTTAAATTGAAAAGTTAATATGAAGAAATAACAATAATTATTTGTGTTCAAAATCACAATGTCGTATAAAAGTATTGTCTTATACCCTTTCTAGATTAACTTTAATTTCAGTTCAACTTACTCTTCATCTTTTTCTAATTCTTATAATCAGAAAAAGAAAAAGAGTTGAGCTGAAATTAAAATTAAATCTGCTTTGGTAAAAATGGATATTAAATATATTTTTACTTCCTCCATCTGTAATTTATAAATCTTTTTTGTCCAGTCTTTTTTTTACTGTTCTAGGCTTTCAAAAATTGTGGAAAAATTTAGGATTACTTTTTAACATTTCTATTACATTATTAAATAATTTTCTCAACTATTTTAGAAGAAGGAACTGAATTCCATCTTTCTTTATTTCGGAAAAATTTGAAAGTATTTTATTATATTTTACTTGTGTCAAAAAAGACCCAGATTGCAGGATTAAAAAGAAAGAAACCTATGCATGTACGACATATTTTTCAGCGAATAATTTCTCGTTTATGCGACTCTTCCATGATAATTTCATATATATTTTACATTGTTTCCAAATAAATTCCATTATTTCCAAATTTGATAACGTGAAGCCGTGAAACATACAAACGCAGTTGGCAGAACACACACTAATTCAAAATTAGCTGCACGGATTGAATTTCTTCGGTCGTGTAGCAACAGGGTGTTCGGAAAGCGAGTGTCTTCATCAAGAGGCCGCGGAGGAAACAGATCGTCGCTTTCACGAAAGCAGATCGCCGGTGAAATTTATGCCGTCACGTGTCGTCCTCGACAAAGTGGACTGCAATTTAGCCGCTCCGCTTTAACGAAGCGCCGTTTCTCGTTTAAATGTAGAATCGTGGTAGCAGCTTTGTATCCACTAATCGCGTTACAAGCGGAAAACAATCATTGAGTTTACGCGATCATGCCCGTACAATAAGGCGGAATCACTTCCATCTTCGCTCTTTTGCTGCGCAATCTCTTTCACTTAAAAACAGCTTCTAATTTTTCGTGATTATCGTAATGTTTTCCCTCTTATTTACTTGGACTGAAATCTAAGTTGAATCCTAGTCCATTTAACACAACAGCATTCACATAATTCACACTTAACGAGTCCTTTTGTTAATTCGGCGGAACACTGTTAAAGCTACTTTCGAACTCAAGCCAAGAATTTTGCAATTCTCATTGATATGTGGACAGTTTTCAGTCACATCTGCATTTTGACGCTTCGAATCTGCTTTTTAATAGTCATAATCGATATATGCACGGAAAGGGCAGTTTGCTAAAGTATCTAAAAATTTAACTACACGCGAAGAACGATTTTGCTGAAATATCTAAAAATTTAGCTATATACAGATCTGAAATAATTTTGTTAAACTATCAAAACAATTATGTAGAAAATTTAAGAATGACGAGCAACCCTGCAGTAACTATAAATCTGAAAATAATTATATAGGACGCTCAAATTGGTTGCTAGAATGCCAAAACTTTTTGCAGAATCATTTATCATACTTGAGATTTCTACATAATTATTTTGATAATATAACAAAATTATTTTCAAATCTGTATCTAGATAAATTTTTTAATACGTCAACAAAATCATTTTTTCCTATGTCTTCTCTTTTCTAATGCCCATTTTTACCAATGTAGAAACTTTAATCTCTATTTAACTTACTGTTTATCTTTTTCTAATTCTTACAATTAGAAGTTCTAATTAATCTGTAAGAATTATTATCTCTAAGAATTTTAAAATTATAGAATTATTATCTTTGTTTAATTTACTCTTTACTTTTTCAGTTCTAATTTAGAACTGAAAAAATAAAGAATAAATTAAACAGAAATCAAAGTTAATTTGCATTTGTAGAAATAAACACAAGTCACTTTTTGCAAAGTTTATTCTACGTAAAGTATTCTTAGTTAGATAATTACAGACTTTTGTATTCAGAGACACGTGTTTGTAATAACATAAAATTAATACCGTTCTGCGGATCTTCAAAAAAAATCTCGTAATTTCTCTCGGTAAATTTCTTTTTCTAATTAAACAGGAATTTGTTTGCAGCGCTAATTTACAGAAAAATAACGAGATCGCATGAGACACGTCTGAAACAGGAAGATGTAAATCGCAAATGCGTTCGTTCATTAGAAGCTCCCATCGCGAACGACGGTCGTCTGCCGCTCATTTACCGCGGGCTTACGTTGCCGGCCGTTTCTGCGCTCGAAGCGAGTTCGTTGCCAGTTCTAAAATCGTCGTCCTGACAATGACGTAGGATCGCGACCGTTTGTCTCACGTGGGACGACAATCGCGACGGCGGATCCTCTCTTTCGTCGCTTCGACGAACGGAAAATATATTACACCGCGGAATCGTACGAAAATCGGCCGCGGCGAAACGATTTTGTGAATTTCGTGTAATCTGCGTCTGAGCTAAATAACGAGATGTACATATGTATATCGATGAAATACAACACGGAGGCCGCTGGAACAATAAATAAACAGTAGTTGGCCCACTGTTTAGGCAATTCGTATTACGTACACAGTGATGCTTACGCATTTGCCCAGCGAATTTTGCGTTGCAGCGCGGGAATTGCAGTTGCATTGCATTCGCGTTTGTCTCTCTCTCTCTCTCTCTATATATATATATATGTAAGACATATATGAATAATAAACACTGATGGAATAGTTTACTAACTCGCTACTTCTAGGACAACTAATCCATCGTACGAAATAACTAAACGATATCAATAATATCCAGAATGTACGACGCGTTAAAATAAATTGTAAGACACTCGACGTAGTACAGAGCGAAAATATTTAAAATCCTTTTTCCTCTTTCGTTTTATATATAAAATAATCTACTTAATTTATACTGAGAAAAATTTATTTTTCTCAGTTCACCGAATTCAATTTAAAAGACTTTTTCTAGTCAGATATTATGCTGACATATTATTGATCTCCAAACTATTGTTTTGAATTGTTTAAAGGAGATATCAGTGTGCAAAATAGTTATATAAAAATATTGAGCATTTCAATCGAGATGAAAATTATAAAAGTGAGCGAGTTTACTAGAGTATCTATTTATAATTTCATTGATCAACACCTAGTAAATTTGCTCACTTTTGTGATTTTCATCTCGTTTCAAGATAGAGAGAAAAAAAATCGATCCCCTGGAGACCGTTTAAGATCTTTCAATACAACTCTTGAGATTTTAATCCTTCGCCACCAACTGGGATTTTTAAATTAAAGACACCATCGAACATTTTAAATGTGAATTTTGGTAGATAAATTTAAATCTGTAAAAATATACGTAAAATACATTTCGATTTTATGGTATAAAAACTAATTATTAAAACTTTGACAAGTATACTAGAATTTGTGCAAATTTTTATATAATCCGGAACGTTCGGAACAATAAAAAATTTGCTCTGTTTTTTAAAGATTCCTGTTACTGAAAAGTATTAAAATTCATGCTGCGGAGGGTTAACATTTGTCTTAATTTTTCTGCCAATGCATAATTTTTCACTTGTTCGCAAGATCTTCGCTAAAAATGTATAATCGAAAACTATACATAAAATCTATGCAAGACTGTCCTTTATTGTTCGAAGAGTGTGGATTTAAAGCGTCATAAAGAAATTCACACAAAATATAAAAATTTTTCGAAATTGGGTACCCATGCATTGACAGGATTAAAATAACATACTATATCGAATTAGATCTTTAAATTGTTACACGGAAAATCGTCAATTCTCTTTCAATTTCTGTTAATTATTTTATCTAGTTGCACTTTTATTTCTAAACGCGCTGAGCTCATCGTTCCCCGAGATCCCTCGTGTACGATCGCCCAACACAAGACGCCCACGTTGCAGTGTCGACGAAAGAAGCTCGATGATTACGGCAATCGTCGTGTATACACATCGTCAAACAACTTACCTCCTGGATCTTGTAGCTGGTGCGGATGGTTTTACGCCTGGTGGTGGTAATCTCATAAGTTTCCTCGACGGTGGGCGCTCCATCGTTGACGTTACTGCTGATGACACCGCCGCCGTCGTCGGCCCTCATTAGAGCGTCCGTTTCGTCCATCGCGACGTTCTCCGTGTCCACTTCCATCGAGGAACAAGAAACGTGCCTCTAGCGAATCGATCTAAGAAAGCCCCGTGGAGATTTCGCTGCAAACGGGAGCTACGAGAAGCGCGACGAACACGAGTCGTCCTGCCTGTCGCGCGGTCCACCAGATCGGTCCGATTTCGGCTAGCGCTCGACGATAAAGTTTTACAGCGCCGCGAGACTATTCCGGGAGTCCAAGTTCCGCGCGGAGCAGCGAGGCTGGCAGTACTAAAGCACCGCGCCGTGGAAACCCGCGGCAGACGAGATCCCGCGCGCGTCTTTCGACGGCGAAAATAGAATCCTGTGGTTTCCCGCAGGAACCCAGCAGCTCGCGCGCGTCGTACTGGCGCTATATTACGACATTTGTGGACAACATTTCAAAGCTGAAGCTTATGTCGAAAGAATTTTGGTAAACGTCGAACCGCATCTTCGAGAATAGATAGGATTTTTGAGGATTCCATCGCTTTTGAGGATAAAAATATAGTTACTAAAAGATTTGAGGAGCTTACCTCTATCACGTCTGTCTATTTTACAGCTTGTAAAAAATTAAATATTCAAATTTTGAATATACAACGCGATATTATTTGATGTCGCATTAAATCCATGATACACTTATCGTTATAAGGCACATGTACTTTGAACATCATATTCGCAAAGGTGTAATAAAATCTTATTCGATAGAATATAAATCTATAAAAATGTATCTTAACGCTGCAATATGGAATGGCATCATCGTAATATAATAACAATGTCATAATGAATCTTTAAAAATTTGATAAAAAAAAAACACCTAATACTAAATTATACAATCAATAAATTTGACTTTCCTAAGCTCTTATATGATATAATTATTGTCAGTGACACTGTTTTTCTTGAGACTAAATTAATCATGCATCTTGATGTTTACAATTGATGTACCCACATAAACGTTCGCGAACGTATGTGTTTATAAAAGATATTTTAAATTTCAAGACCGTATTATAACATCAGTATATTTGAGGATAAAATCTGAGCCATCTGATGGCTTAGAAACGCAGATATTCATAATTATGCCTGTGATTAAACTCGCCGGTGTCACATCGAATGCTGGATTCCAACATGTTATACCCTCTGCTGCGATTCTCTTGTCGTTCATGTGAGTCATCTCTCGTTCAGACCGCTCCTCAATGACTATCTGATCACCATTGGACATTTTTAAATCTATAGACGTCAGTGGTGCAGCCACGTAGAAAGGAACATTGTGATATTTGGCGAGAATTGCAATCTGTAATCAATAGAAATAATTATGTAAGTGTGTATCTCGTACACATAAATATTGGATACGTATTCTGAAAATGTTTGGAATGAATTCCGATCGAAATAATTAACAATTTCCTATCTATTCCGAATAATTGAAGGTAAACCAGTCATTTTTAGAACAATTATTATCTTTTGTGATTCTATCTGTAATATTTTGAATTAAGATAGTCGGGACTGATAAGTTACCTGATAAGTTCCAATTTTATTTGCGGTGTCACCATTTGCGGCGACTCTGTCTGCGCCTACAACAACAGCGGTGATCTCTTTCGTTTTCATTAGCGCAGCGACCATGTCGTCGCAAATTAGAGTTGCTGGTATCTTGTCGTGTACCAATTCATAAGCGGTTAAACGTGCACCTTGATTATATGGCCTTGTCTCGGTGCAATAAACGTGTTCTGAAATAAATAGATAACGATTGAGAAATGTCTCTTATTCGCCCGGCCAAGATAAGGCTTTCGAAAACAGATTATATTTACCGAGTCTTCCCCTCTCGTGAAGAGATCTGATGACGCCTAAAGCTGTGCCATATCCCGCGGTAGCGAGACTCCCGGTATTGCAATGGGTGAGCACCCTGACAGAACTTCCCTCAGGCACATTGCGTAGAATTTCGTCCGCTCCAAATCTCCCGATTGCTTTATTGTCCTTTACATCGCCCCTCAGCATCTTATCCATTCGGTCTATAAATCTACAACATAAGTTTCAAGATAATGTAAATTAAAAAATCAGACTACTCATATCTTTCTCTAAAAATATAAAATCATAAGAATGTACTCGTCTTTCATCTGGGATAACGTGAAATCGTCAGAGTGACACAAATAATCTGTCATTTCTGTGAAGAAGTCAGCTGCCTCTTTCATATTGACTGCAGTGGGACGTGCCGTTACCAGGTAATTCATGTTATCCTTGATAGCCCGAAAAAGAGCATTCTTGTCATCATAGTTTGGATGTTGAAGGATCTCTACCGCCACACTGAGGCAGCCCACGATAGCTATGGCTGGTGCGCCTCGTACCTGTAGTTATTGAATTACATTTACTGTAAAATATAACCAATTATATGACGTATACTTTAAAATTTTATGTACATTCACAACTGTATAACATTTTGTTCGATACTAAGTAAGTCAACAAAGAAGAAAAATGTAACAGAAAGAAAATGCAAAGTTGACATAGAATAAATATTCAGGAAAGAATATATAGTTTGAGATCTTTTTTTAGATGTGGGACTTAAAGTTATATTACGAGTACATTCTCCATGATGTACGTGATGTATCATTTTATTTTTCATAGATATATTTACATGTTTTATTTAGATTAATTACAACTCGTATTTAATTCAACAAGCCTAATCAGAGAGTTTGAGCCAACTTTAGCTAGGAATTAATTAAACAAAAACGATAAATGTTTCATATAAATGATGAATGTTTAATTACCTCTCACTCAAACAAACCACTACTAAATAATTTATTTTATTTTTTCTTTTCGTATTGATAATATTATTGATTTACAAAGCTAAAGTTCAGCTAAAAGTATAGAGAGAGAGAGAGAGAGAGAGACTACGTTTCACACACATGGTTGATACCAAGCCTTTGTAAACTTTGCGTCCGCTTTATAGAATAAAGTCTTTTTTTAGTTCGACAAAGCACTGCCTGCATTCAAATTTATTTTCTAACAATAAGCTCTTATACCTGCATCTTGTTGATGGCATTCCAGCCATCCTTGACACCTTTGACCTGGACATAGCTGGTCGTTGCCGGCAGCAGCGTTTGATCCAGGATCTCCAGTTTGCCGTCTGCCTTGCTCCATTTTATCGCTTGCAGCGTCATCGTGAGCTGATGATAACGATCTATCGCGATCGGTCACGGGGGCAATTCACAATGACTCTGAATTTATTGAATGAACGAGTGACAATTGGGAGCCGAGCCGGCGAACAATTACATTACGCCCAGAGAGCTCCTCTCCTTCTTCTTTAGGTTAAGGTTGAAAACATTCGGAAACATCCAACGAGCAGGCGCCATCTGACGAACGAGATTACGTCACGTGTGCTCCAATATTTTCATCCCACCCACCTCTCCATCGCCACACATCGCCATCTTCACCCCTTCACAGCCGAAAAGCGTGTAACGTTATCACCGAACGCGTTACATAATTCTGATAGCAGCGACAAGCGGTTGTCATCAGCTCATCCGTTTTGAAAGTTCGGCACAGCTCAAGACAGCTGTGAAGTAATCGAACGCGTTCTGTGATCAGAATTGCCTCTCATTCTGTCCGCGAACTGATTCTATCCAGCGCTGACAGAAACGCGAATAAATCCTGATACGGGAAGATAGATATTTGTGTCTATAGAATCGTTTACTGTCAAAATTATACGGAGACAAATCGCTATTAATTAGTTGCATACAGCAAAAAAAGAGTAGTTTAACAATTACATCTTTAATATGATTGATTCTTATTGTTATTAATTTCTCACTAAATCTAAATGTATAAATCTATCATATTAAAGAATCTTATGATAGTTGCAAAACTATTTTTTTTTTGCTGAATGCAGCCATTGCTCCAATTATTTAATTAAATTTGGTTTCATTATGCAAATTCTTTTGATTATCTATATTATAAATAAAGTTATTAATGGCGACAAAATACTTTCTTTTTTAAGATGGATATATAATTGAGATTGCTTTGCCAAAAAAATGTAAAGCATAATATATATTCGGACTACATACAATAATAAAAATTTATTTTAATAATTGTGACTCATCTGAAATTGATTATATTTGATGCTTATTAAGTATTTAAAGTATTATGATTGATCAAAGACTTATTGGACTAATACTGCGTGTTTCACACCTCCGCGATCACCTAGGTTTTTATTAGAGACATAATTAATCTTTTGAAAACTTAGATCTCAATTTATATTTTATTTTTACACATTTTAATATTGCTAAGAAAATTCATAACCGACTTTTGTTATAACATTGAAAATGACCAGATCAGACGAAACGTTTGTTTGTTTGTATAATTGAATTATTTATATTAAAAGTATTTGTTTAGACTCGTAGCCCTCTTTTATATTATTATTTAATAATTGTTTTGATAGTCACGCGTATCATCTTTTATACAATTATTACAAGTGTCATTATTAAATTTTCATTAAATTGTTATATTATTAATGGAAGTTATTATTATGTCATTAAACTTTCAAGTTATTTTATTATATTACTAATTAATATTACATCGTTAAAGCATTACTAAATATCATATTACATAGCATCCTTCATTTTAAATTAATTTCAGCACGATTAAATTAATATAAGAATATTTCAAAAAATATATAATATCTTGAGATATTTTAGAAGAATTCTTACAAGTTAAGATGTCAACAATTGCTGTAGCATTGAGAATTAAAATTTTTTTAAATTAAAGCATCACTTAAAAATTATTACACGGAAAGGAAGATTTTGCTGAAGCATCTACAAATTTAGCTTTGATATAGATTTGAAAATAAATTTATTGAATCATCCAAAAAATTATAGGACGCTGATTGCAGCTTTTTGCAGCGTTGTTCATCATGCTTGAAATTTCTACGTAATTATATGGTCCAACAAAATTATTTTTAGATCTGTATCTAGCTAAATTTTTTAATACTTCAGCAAAATCATTTTTTCCGTGTATCATGTCAAGAATTCATTACAAAATCATCATCAAAAGTACATCGAATAATATGATTTCTTTTTTCTAAAATGAAACTTTTATTTGATGTCGTCTCGCAGATTTTATTTTGTGTTTTACTTAGGTCGCGTTCGAAAACACTACTCGAATACCTCCAGGTACCATTTTATCCTTGTTTAACATTCGGTAAACAATAGGATAAAATGATATTTGAAGATATTTAGGTAGAGATGTGTTTATTCGAATATAAAATTAA